GTTATGCTCTCAGTGTGGTGGGATTTTAAAGGTGTTGTGTTTTTTGAGTTCCTGCCAAGGAACCAAACAATTAATTTGAATGTGTACTGTCGGCAACTGGACAGTTTGAATGAATCCATCATCCAGAAACGTCCAGAGCTTGTTAATTGTAAAGGAGTTGTGTTCCATCGCGACAATGCGAGACCACACACAAGTTTGATCGCCCGTCAAAAATTATTGGAGTTTGGATGGGATGTGTTGCCACACCCACCATACTCGCCTGACCTTGCGCCGTCAGACTTCCACTTGTTTTACTCTCTTCAAAACTCCTTGCGTGGTATAACGTTCAATTCAGATGAGGCTGTAAATCAGCACCTTGTTCAGGTTTTTGCAAATAAAGACAGGTCCTTCTATGAATGAGGAATTATGAAGCTCACTGAAAGATGGCAAAAGGTTATGGAACAAAACGGGCACTATATCACTGACTGATCTTTGTTCTTTATATAAATAAATGACCTTTGAAAAACATAGACAAAATACGTCATGACTTTTCCAACAACCCAATAATGTAAGAGGACTGGCTGAGAAAAATGGGCAGTGCAGCCTGGGGAGGTGAAAGGAGAATGTGAACCCTGACTCTGGGTCCACGGAATGGAGCACACTGGAAAGAAAGAATCTTTCTCTTACGTGGTCCCTGGTCCCTAGGGAGACGCCGCAGGGAAATCGAGTGTGGTTTGACAGAGGCCGTACAGCCACCTGCAGTGGGATGCAGATCTGCTTTAGCAGGACATTGGATCCAATGATTTGCTTTGACTCTGATGTTGCATGATTGCCAAAGATGGACCCACACTCTATTCTGAACAAATGACTTGTTTCTGTCTTTGGGTTTAATGGCCTCATGAGGAGAATGAGGTCATGGGAAAGAAACAGATCAGCCCAAGGTCTCAAAATAGTGGTTACCAAACAATTTGGAAACCGAGCCTCCTGATGCTCAGTCCAGACCTCCTTTTTGATGTCTGTCAAAATTCTTAATCAACACTGTGTTTGCTTAAGAATAAATAACCCAATGCCTCCTTATTATATGTACTGTCTCCTCGGGTCTTCTGACCCTTTGAGTTTTCAATCTTGCAGGCTCACTATCTCAGGGGCCTTTAAAGAGAAAGGAATCCTACAATTTGAAATTTTAACACTTTTTTTTTAAACCAGTCTCTTCTGAAGATTGTATTTCTGCTCTGAGCTGCTATGGGGTGATCTACTGCTCTAATTAGGCCAGAAGTAAACCTAGCTGTCATGAGATTCAGGGTATGACTGGAGGAAAACGTTGTCACGGCTAGTTAAGATCATCAGTGCCCACACTGGCCGCAGAACATTCCAGGAATTCATTGATTCACTCCCTAATTCATTCTGCTGATAAGCCACAAGCACAGACACACAGGGAGGACAAACATAACAGGCTGATTCAGTCTCACTAACACCCCCAGGGCGGGACAAAGCAGAAAAATAGTAACACTTCAGTTTGTTGTAGTCCTCGCCCCCCATCCGCCAGGCTCCTCCAGCGGGCGTATGGTACAGAAGGAAGTGGGGACTGAGGTCACAGTGCCAACCCTTGCTCTCTCATGTGCGATTACCTACAAAAGGAAGAAATAACACCGCTCCTTCTATTGGGTTGTCGGAAAAGTCACGATGTATTTTTTCTCTGTGTTTTTTTTTTTTTTTTTAGATTTTTTTTTATTGGGTAATTGGGGGGATGGGAACAGTACTGGGGAATTAGGGGAAGGGGAACAGACAAGT